ATTATTGGACACTACGTTCCTAAAGTCTCATCCCCATTTGTGAATTTGTACCCCCACTCCCGGATACTATTTGTAATAGCATAGACTTTAAATTCTTGCAATTTACCGCTTTTCGAATTATACCATGGTTAGACCTAGGGTTTGCATGTACATAAAACCGAACGCTAGATAACCTAATACAAGACAAATACATGAAATCAATACACAATCACACTTGCACCCCCTAGGGTAATCCCACATGTTGCCTTCCAAAATGGGCCATGCTTGCACGTCGAGTTTCTTTGGCAAAACAAATTCAAATGATCATAAGTCCCTCGATGACGCTTTCGAAAGTTGCCTAAATGGAATGATAATAGTCCCTTCAAGCAAATTGCCAAAGACACTTGGCACCATTGCATCCATGGTCCATACGATGACCCGCGCCCGTCCCGTTAAACATCCTAAACGCAAGATTGTCCATCAAATTCAATGGTGGAACAAAATTGTTAAAAAGGAGTTGAAAACATAGAGAAAACCTTTGAGTACAATAGGGGTAGACAAAACTCTTAGTTACTTGAGATCAACTTGCAAAAACACTTGCCTTCTTTTCAAAAACCACACTTCATACACACTTTCAAAAAACAACTTCCAAAAACATTTGAAACATCTTTTCGAAAAGATACACACCTTTGTAAAACATTCGAGTAAAGAATTGTTACAAGGGTTGCCTAAGACAAGGCATCTTCTTCAAAAACATTTTCAAAAACACACACACATACACCACAATTTCAAGCAATCGAAAATCAAGGCAAGTGATCTAAAAAACCGAGTAACTAAGAGCCCATGGATAACCATGGATGAAAAGGGTGCTAATACCTTACCTTTTCATAATCTACCCCCCGAACCCACGAAATATCTCAAAAGGTTTTTGCTGTGCTTTTTAACCTTTCCTTTAGGATAAAATAAAAAGTCGGTGGCGACTCTTGCTCAACCGAACAAGTGCGAATACAAAAACACAAAACTCAAGTCAGTTCTCCCACCGTATCACAGTGAGATAACCATGTATAAGGTAATTCTAGTTGCAAAATAATTCTTTCAAAGGCCTAGAATTGACTTCGATGAGGTATATATATATATATATATATATATATATATATATATATATATATATATATATATATATATATATATATATATATATATATATATATATATATATATATATATATATATATATATATATATATATATATATATATATATGCACTTGTTGCTAGAATTGAAACCATATGAATAGTGTTTGCAATTGGAACATACAAAGGGTGGAAGATGTATCAGTTAGATGTAAAGCACGCATTTCTCAATGGAACATTAGAGAATGAGCTATATGCCAAGAAACCTCCAGGCTTAAAGATCAAATGGAAAGAAGGGAAATTGTACAAAATGAGAAAATCATTGTATGGATTGAAACAAACACCTAAAACACAGAACAAAAGAATTGACATTTTTCTCATCAAGCTAGGATTTAACAAATGCATATTACAACATGGAGTGTATGTAAAAGGATCAAGTGAGCATGACAAAATCATTATATGTCTATATGAATATGATCTATTGGTATCAAGATTAAATGAAGTTGAATTGGCCAAAACAAGACTAGCATGAGGAATGAATTTGAGATGTCATATATAGGGAACTTGGTTTATTTCCAAGGAATGGAATTAATGAACACATAATTGATTGTTTTCTTGCAACAGAAGAAATACACAAATGTTATTTTGAATAAATTCAACATGAGTAATCGCAAGCATGCAAACACTCCCATGGAAACAGGTACAAAGCTGAAGAAAGGTACAAATGATGAGCTTGTATATTAAAGTTTGTAAAATAAAATCAGTGACTTACTAAATACTTATGCAACACTAGATATGATATTTTCCTAAGTGTTGGTTTGGTAAACAGGTTCGTAGAGAAACATATATCATGTAATCTACTAGCATCTAAGAGAATCCTCAGATACATCAAAGGCACTACAAACTATTGTATACACATGCCTAATCAAAAGAACAGTAAAAGGAAAACCAATGCATACTATTCTAATTCACATTAGGGAAGAGATCAAAATGACAGTAAAAGTACAATATGGTACTTGTTCATGATTAGGGAAACTTAAATTTCATGGAACTCGTAGAAACAAGGAATAATGGATCTTTCATCTTGTGAGGCAGAGCATGTTGCAGCCTCAAATGCAGCTTGCCAAGCATTATGGGTGGAAATGTTGTTTGAAAAATCAAAGTTCAAGAATTTGTGAAGATCAAACTGTTGGTTGACAACAAATCAACAATTTATTTTGCTAATCATCTAATGATTCGTGGAAGGAACATGCATATCGAGATAAAATATGATTTTCTAAGAGATTAAGTGAAGAAGAACTGATTGGAGATTCAATATTGCAAGACAAAGTTGCAACATGCAAATATTTTGACCAAGCTATTGAATGATAAGGTTTTATGGCTTAAAGGAGTTAATAGGCATAAAGAATATAACTGATGTGAATTAGGAAGAATGCGAAGAATGTAATCCAGTTTTAGTGGCAATTTACTCGTGTTGCAAGTGAGTGAATTGCAACACAAGTAAACTGTCACAAATGAACGTTTTAGAAATTAACTAGTTATTTGGTTTTCTAACTATATACACACATGTCATTCCTTGTAAATCAACTAGATTAATAAGAACAAGTTTTTCACTTCTATAATTTCACTTGGAATCTATCTAATTTGATCTCTCTCTCTCTCCCTCTCTCTCTCTCTCTCCCTCTCTCTCTCCCTCCCTCAATGCTCATTACCTTGAGAAACTAGTAATCCCAACAAGGAGAACACAAGTTCAAATGATTATTTTATGATTGAAATCAACTTCCATTTTGAAATTAATTTTTAGAGTGACTTTAAATTTGCTTGCAACTCTTTTGCAGAAGGTGGTTTCTTATTTAATTTTCAAAATCAACCTTTCATGTAAGTTATTTTTGCGATCCTCCACTCCTTTAAATTATTATTGCTCTTAGATTTTGATGGAGAATGGATCTCCCTTGAAACAAGGTTGGGAGAGATTAGAAATAGAGAAATTGTTAGAGTTGTTTTAGGGCTTGAGCGAAGGATTTTGAATACACGGTGATTGAAATATCTTATGGATTAGGTGTCTTTTGTGTCGACGAAGATCTCTCTATCATAATAGAGTCGAGAAAGCCATATGGGGGAGATTGAAGAAGAAGACATGAAGACAAAACAAAAGAGAACATTGTGAAAATGGAGCAGGGGAACACAAAATCCCTCTTGAACAATGTGATTCTCAGGGGTTACACCGTTTTTAGGTAGCAATGAGGCCGACAACGTAACCTAATGGTGAATCTCCATCTCTCTAGCAAGACAAAGTGAAGAAAATCTTAGAGGAAGATCGAAGCAAAAGAAATGGATGTAAAACAAAATAGAAAACAATGAAAATTGAGCAAGACACACAAAATCCCTGTTAAGCAATGTGAGTCTCAGGAGTCGCCGCCGCTTTTAGGTAACAATAAAAGCAACAATGTAACCATATTAACCATATTATGAATCTCTCTTTCTTTTATAACTTGCAAGAAGGATGAATTACCATACATAAGAAATATCATGAAAAAAAATGTCACGATGACAATGACACAAATAGTTACGAGTATTCAACGTATATAAATAATTTAGTTGAAAACAAGTATTTATTTTTTATATGACAATTTTTTGAAGAAAAAAATAAAGTTAAATTTAAATGAATATTTCATATTTATTAAATAAATAATAAAATAAATTTTAGGAAATAAACATAAAAAGTGATTTTTTTTGTTGCAAAATTGTCATTTAGAAATTGGAAGTGTTTTGTTTTGTTCCCCATTGTGGCTTCAAGGAAGGTGGGCTACACTACATTTGCAGGCTTTCATGACCAAATTCCAAGTAAATAGTATAAAATGATCATTAATAAAAATAAAGAGAGAAAAAAACCTTAGGAGAAGACATGCTATGAAATGTGAAACACAATTCCATATGCTTGCTTTGTCATGAGCATCCATTCTTTCTTTGTACTTGTCTTTTCCCGACTATTATTAAAAGTTGAAAGCAACCAACAGCCTGTCCTTATTATCACAATTATCTTCTTTCTTTCCTTTCTCAACTTTCACAACCCTCTATTTCTAGTAAAAACTCAATTCTAAATCAACTAGTTAAACTTAAACATAACACACCCTTTTTCACTTTCATTCATCTTCTTCTTTCTCTCCTTTTCCTCCCCCAACTTTCAGTTTCCTCTTCATTACATATACATTTCCCAATCTCTTCATAAATCCACAAATTTCATCTTCCTAATAAGGTAGGGTTTCAAATCCTCTCTCTCTTTTTTTCTTTCTATTTATTTATTTATTTTGAGAAAAATGAAATATCTAATTTGGTAAAGCATCCTCCTTCTCCATTCAATTATATTTAATTAGTTCCTTTTCTTACCTTTATTTTTTTACAATTTTTCTTACCTTTTTCTATACATGATTTTTCTTTTATATATACAATAACATGTATTGCTTCATTATACTACTATAATGTTTGTGACATTCTTAATTGTAACTTCCACTTTCCTTGGAACTCTCTCAACTTGGCTGCTATAATAGTTTTCCATTAATTATGTTTCATGTTTTGTTTCTTCAAATCTATTTGGTGCAGGTTTCTTCTACTCTCTCTCTCTCTCTTTTTCTTAATAAGGACAAGCCAATGTCTATTACGTTTGCATAGGAAAAGCCTATTTTTTATATGTCTTTCAATTTATTAAAAATATATATATTTTTTCCACTTTAAATATCTTGCTGAATTTTAACTCTAATGTTGTTTCTCTGTGACATATACTTAATTAAAGTTATTTTTGTAACTGTCTAGTCCAATGTTTTTTTTTAATATACTAATTATTTATTTATTTTGTTAATGCTATTTAGAAGCATCTTGTGTTGTTGTGTTATGGAGTGGAACAATTTGAAAGCACCTTCATGGGATTTAACTGAAATGGAACAAGGAACCTTAAACCACAACATAGAAACAACAATGGATGGTTCAAGGAGTTTTGGATTTGGAGATTATAGAACAACAAAAGGGGAATTTTCTGTTGACTTGAAACTTGGACAAGTTGGAAATTCTAGTACTCAATTATCAAAATCCAAAGATGTTGTTGCTGGTGGTGGTGGAGGTGGAGGTGGAGGTGGAGGTGTTTCGAAAATGGCATCTTCGTCGTCTTCGACTTCGGGTTCATCTAAGAGAGCTCGAGCTATTAACAATGGGACTCATATTGTTTCATGTCTTGTTGATGGTTGTCAAGCTGATCTTAGTAACTGTAGAGACTATCATAGACGCCATAAGGTTTGTGAGCTTCATTCCAAGACTGCTCAGGTCACTATTGGTGGACATAAACAAAGGTTCTGCCAACAATGTAGCAGGTGAATTTTTCTTAGTTACATTTTTAATCTTAAATTTAAACAAAAAGATTATGGTACTTTTGGATTCGGTTATACATAAGTGAAATCTGATTAAAAAGAAGATTATAGTAATTTGGAGTTCCATTATAAATAAGTAAAGTCGAACTAAAAAGATGATTCTGGTAATTTAAAATTCGATTATATTTAAATAAAGTCTGATTAAAAAAGTAATTCGAAGTTCGGTTATAAATAAGTGAAATTTGACTAAAAATTATTAAGTTTATGTGTTTTTCAATGTCTTGAAGTTCTCTAGATTGCAAATGAATTTGTTTGACATCTAAATTATGTGCATGTATACCCATTATTTTTCATGTTAATTTCACAGGTATTGTTTTTTTTTTTTAATTTAGGCTAGAAACGAAAGAAAAATAATAATCTCAATAAAAAAACCTATACAAACTAGAAAGTATCTTTTCATTAATTAAGATAATCATTTGTTAAAACACTTGTTAATGGATAATTTAGTTAACAAAACACGATTTAGTTAAACAAAATTTAGATCAAGAAACACAAATGATTGAACCTTCCTTGATCTAAATTTTTATTTACCAAAGAGATCATAATAATAGATTCTCTAATTAATGTGGTGAAAGTGATATTCACTAATCATTTACTTAATTATTGTGATATTTTGAACTTGATATATAGATATCCGAGCGGTTTTAAGTTTTTGTAGTCTATGTGTAAGTAAATTAAGGTGTAAGTGTGAAAATTAAATAGGAAACCCTATTTTATCATGTTTTAACAAATATTTCGAGTCTTTTTAACCAGTGTTTCAACGTGTCAAAATTTAGATTTTGTATGACAATCTATTTTGCACGCATTTACATCTGATAGATATGATTGGAGTTGTTTGAATAATGAATCTTGAAATGTGTAGGTTCCATTCACTTGAGGAATTTGATGAAGGAAAAAGGAGTTGCAGAAAACGTTTAGATGGGCACAACAGAAGAAGAAGAAAGCCACAAGCAGAAGCTATAAGTCGATCTAGTAGCTTTTTGTCCAATTACCAAGGTTAGTTTGAAACTCAACATCAAAATAAGTGGACCCAATAATTGTCTAGATTTAGAGCAGACAATTGCTGAGGATCCCCACATAGGTACAAACATCTTAAAAGAGTAACAAAATAACACACAATTACATAATTCATTTGTTGCCTATAGCTATACCTATAGCTACACTTCACCATGCTTCTAAGTTCTATCTACTACTATCCTTTATTTGGTCCACTTATTTTTGCTATGTTTGTGACAATCTAGTGGTCATCACTAAAACAACAAACATGTCACTGTGTCAGTACACACACAAAAGGTTTTTTAGCTTTTCAAACAAGCTAAACTAGACTGTCTTTTCTAACTCGCTACTATTGTCTATCTATTTGCTTCAATAATTCTTGCATCATTCTGACTTTTCTTTAACATAACTTTTTTAGACCTTGTTTTTTTGGTCTACATGTGAAACAATGATTTGAATGTGTAGTTAGTTAATTGTTTATAGTATTTGGTTTTTACTAACAATTACAAAAATTGCACCCTGTTTTAGAAATGTATCTGTTAAACACAAAAATAAATAATATTTGAGATTAATTAGTATCTACTATCAGTGTAAAAATTTTCACACAGTCAATCCATCATAATCATTTATAAATATTATTTTATAAATAATTAAAATAAAATTCAAATTTCAATAAATATTTAACGGTCACGATTCACTGACAATGTAAAACTGTTTTACACCGTAAGTGCATACCAATTAAATTCATAAAATTTTGTTTAAAAAATTGATGTATTTTATTTAAATTTTAGGCTAAATACATCAATTTTTTAACTAATTTTTATTTATATTTGAGACTAGAAAGAGTATAATGAATTAGTCTATTTGCAAATTGCATATGGATATCACATTGTAAGGGTACAGAATCGAATTCACGACATCTCATTTATTCGTCTTTAAAGACTAAAATTTCAACAACTAACTATTTAACAAAAAAAAAAAAATATTAATCCATCTACTTCATTTATTTAAAGTGAAATAAATAGGGTTTTTTCTAATATAAGGAATATAGGAAAATTTTCAAGAGTATTAATGGTTGAAATTCCTTTTAATGAATTTTATATAGCGAAATGCTATTAATTAATTTATTTTTCTCTTTCATGAGTCTTTGACTCCTCAAACTTCATCAACCCTTAATCACAGTTTTTTCCTCTTAAATTAGTTTTATGTTTTACTTTGTTCTCATTACTTTTTCTACTTTAGTTGTGGTCTTTGAATTATGAATGTTAATCTCATTATATAAATTTACTACTATATATTTTTATCAGGAACTCAGCTGTTACCCTTTTCAAGTTCACATATATACCCTTCAACTGCTATGATGAACCCTAATTGGGGTGGAACAGATGTTAGGCTCCATAGCCAACACAACCAACACCAACAAATGCATCATCTTGTCCAAAAACAAGACCTTTTCCTAGGAACATCCTCTCCAACAACCAACAACACCTACAAAGAAGGGAAACACCTCTCATCATCATCATCATCATCATCATCGTCATTCATTCATCAAGCTACTGACCTTTCATCTTCTTCCATGAATCCATCTTTTACCGGAACCAACCCTTTTTCCGAAAGATACAAAATGATATGTGACAGCAACAACAACAACAACGCTTCTTGTGCTCTCTCTCTTCTGTCATCACCACCACTACCAGTAGTATCATCACAGTCGACACATGATCATCATCATCATCATCATCAGATGGTGAATACTCATACTCATACTCATACTCATTCATCTTTTATGCAACCCTTAGGTTTGAGTTTGCATGATCATAGCTTGGGGTCAGTGGACCATGTTTTGGGTCCAAATGATCAGAGTGGTCATTGTTCATCCATTTATAATATGGGATCTAATGAATCACATTCTCAGGGAAATGATAATGATGCTCCTCCTCCTTTATATCCTTTTCAATGGGATTAGAATTGTTATTACAGGATTTTATTTATTTTCTTGTTATAAGGTTCTTGTTACCTTAATTTCTGTACTTCTTAATTTCCATGTCTTTAATGCATGAATGTAATGGACTATGTATTATCTTTTAAGAATAACATATTTGATGTGTTTCAGGAACTAAAATCTGAATGTCAAATAAAAAGCAACGGACATTCAACTCATTTACTTTAAATATATTTACGATAATGATTATAAATTGATTATAAATAATTTTGATTGATTAATTGTGTAAAACTTTTTATATTGATAGTGTATAACAATTAATCTCTTAGTTTAAAGATTAAAAAAAATATAAAAGTTACATAAATAAAGTAGGGCTAAGACCTTAAAAATTAAGGTGAAGCTCTTAACAAAAATTATAAATAAAACTGCAAATTAGTTTAAAAATGATTTTTTATTTTTTATTTTTTGGGTTGTGTTTGATATTTTTAACTGTTTATAATGGATTTTATTTTTTGTTTTTAAATCAAATTGCAAGTATATATTTTAATTTTAATTTTAATTTTTTATTAATTTGATATATTCCTTTAATTTGTTATTGATTGGTTTAAATATTTTTAGTAATGCTTATTAGTTTAAATATATTTTTTTTATAAATTTTATTACACATGTTTTGAAAATAATCTATGGCTGTTATTTTGTAATGTTAATTTAGAATATTAGTATTTGTTATATCTGCATAAAACAAATTAGTTATTGTATCTTATAATATAAGTATTATTATATTTTTTTTACAATTATAATTTGAATTTCTAAAAATTGATGATCCAAAATAAGTTGTGTTAAATTGAGTCAAGATTGAATATTTTTGTATCGGTCATCTATAGTGAACTAACCACGGTATTATTTATTTAACTTGACTCAAAATCAACTCAAACTACATGCCAAATATCCTTAAAAGAAGCATTTCTTCATGGAATATGAATCAAAGGAAGTTATTGGAGGGTATAGTACAAATATTTTTTGTTCTAAAATTGATATGATGAGTCACGAGTCACTAAAAATATGATATGTGGAATAAATAATAATGATAATTAAAATAAATTATATTAAAAAGGTAAGTGTACCAAACAATATTAGCAAATTCACACAAGCATGAATAAAATAAAAAGATGAGTAACCATATAATTTATTTATCCAGTTCAATCAAATCAATCTACTCTATAGAAGAGAGGAGTTCTCTGATCCACTATACTTCAAGAGTTATTACAAGAGATTATAAGATGAGGTACAAGAAAATAGTTTTAAAGTTCATAAGACATCTTTTATTTTCAAACGCAAGTGTTTCCCAATACTGTTTCCTTTTAATATAAATCACACAAACGCAAGGTGTTTAGAAGTGTTTCTCAATCTCCTTAGATATTTCAAAAAGTCTTCCAATTTTTAGAATAATAAATCTTAAGAATCTTTCCATTTGTCTCTATAAGTTTCTATCAGAAGGACTTCATCACATACCACAAAAAGGCCTAGAACACGATTTTACAGACCTGAAATGTGTTCAACACCCAAAGCACATGCCATGCGTGCTTGATAGTGCTGAAAAATTGAAATTTTTGCTTAATCACTTGAGATCTTGAGGTATACTTCCATAATTCTCCACCTTGACTCAAAACCTACGATGATGTTATGTTAACCACTAAGCATCATGCTTCTATCTATAAATCTTGAACCACTCTTAGAAACTTGATCAAGTCCACGCAATACTTGAACCTTGATATATGCAAT